TGAACCAAAATCCCCAAGCAGAATGTTCATTGGAACCCCTGTCCAGGACCGGCCAGGGTACACAAACGACAAAATTGATACACATATCCACGTCTTACAAACATAATAAAGTTTTACATATGGAATGAAATTAAAAGCAAGCTAAACTAGATTACTTGACGCTCGCAACGTGACGACTCCACTCTCACTCTATATGCATCCTTGACGGCAACGACGAGCCTACTTCTCCGAGTAACCTTCATCTGAAAAGTACTCTGCCTCTGAGGTAGGGAAGATAGAGCAAGACTGAATACTACCTAATGTACTCAGCAAGTCATACCAAGAGGAGGTATGATGCAAGGTAATTCCAAAGGAGGCTAGGGGTTATTTGCATAAAGTGCTTAAAAGCAGAAGTTGAAAGTAGGAAAACTACTAAAGTAAATTAAGCAATATTAATCATCTATGTCAAACGCTACACAACATTACAACAGGCCCAACCAACCACCTGAACTAAACCAGTTCCATTTAAGTCGAATTATTAAGGGTGAGACTAATCACGGTGAGTCTGGTTGATCTCCCATAACCGCGGGCACAATTATCCGAATAGTTTTACTCTGATTAGAGGTGTACAACTATACCCACAAGACACAGCCCCACGACACGTTTCCGTGCGCTGACATGCCACCATGATATACCAGAAAGAGACTGTGACAGGACCCATCGCATAACCCTCCTTAACCAATCATACCCACTTCAGGTTTTGCCACCACCTTTATAACCATGGCGGGCTACCCATCCTGTGCCTAGGTGAATCCGGAAGCCGCAAAAGCCATCACATGGCCCATCCAAACTCCATCACGCTCACCCTTCCGGCGGTACGTCAGCTAGGGAAAAGCTACACTACAAGCCCAGCCATTGACCGCACTGGCTTGTGGTAAGCACGGTAATTCTTCCAGCGTAATCCACGAACCGGTCCTTAATTGCCATGTCCCCGCTAGGCCCTCCGACGTGGCCAACTTGTAGAAACTAGGACGCCGCCACAAGAGGATGAGAATCTAGAGCGTGCTTGCGCCGATTGCTCGAGTGATTTCGACAAGGGGATACCTAAACGATGTCTCCAACGAGAGAAGCGATGGAAAACCGCCGCCGCCATCCATCAAGGTCTCAAAAGAGCTAAGACTAGGCTTTCGCCCGGCAACCACCCTTGAGCGGTGAGACGGCATGACAACGCCCTTAGGAGGGGGAATGACACTCGAGCGCCATCGTTGTCAGTCCGGCAAAGGCCGGGCTAGGATTTCAAAAGCTGCTCACCACCTACGAGTCCATGGCTGACGCACCAATGCTCCACCACCACCCAACCTCTACCGACATGTGGGACCCCTCCACTGGCGCTCCCGCCGGCCAGCCGTCGTGCGCCGTAGACCGCGCCACACCCACCAGCAGCTCCTCCTCATACCGTGGTCGCCTCCTCCACCACCAACAGTGCCTCATCGTGCCACATCGGTCTCCTCCACCGCCGGATGCGCCTCATCGTGCCAAGCCGACCTCCTGCCACCGGCCGCGCCTCAGGCGCCAAACTGGCCTCCACCGCTACCGGCCGCACCTCCTCACGTTGTGCCTTTCTGCGCCGAGCCGGCCTTCGACCCCTCCTCCAATTGCTGCGCGCCAGCCAGATGCAGCCGTCTGCCACGCCCCTGGCTAGCCATCCGAGACCGCCGTGCCTCCTCCCGCCACAGCCGCAGCCACGGTCGCCACAGCAACCACAGCCACAGCCGCCGCAGCCCCAGTCCTCCGCCTCCTGGGCTCCGCCACCGCCGTTGTCGCTCCACCACCAACCGCGCCGTCATCGCCACCCCATCGCCGTGAAGAAGGCCGCCGCGAGCATGCCGTTCTCCACCTTCGTAGCTTCTACGGATCCGACAGCCTCCGACGCCCGCCACCGACGTCCACTCACCGGCCCGCTCGCACCGGCGACCCGCCTCGAGCCGCCGGCCTGCCACAGCCTGCCGCCGGGCACAGCAGCACTGCCTTTGTGCCTGCTACGACCACCCGTGCCTCCGCTGCCTACTGCCGCCAACTCCGCACCACCGAGGCCGCCAACTCCATCCACAACCTCCACTCAGCTGACGCTGCCAACTCCACGCCGCCGACCCCGCCAACTCGACGACCCGGCTCTCCGCTGCCCGGAGCAACAGATCCGACCATAGGGGGACCGGATCCGTGCATTCCAGCGCCGGATCTGGAAGCTGCCATCGGATCTTCCTCGGTGTTGGCGCCTTGCCCTGAGCTCCATCTTGCTGGCACCCCGACTGCCTTGACCGCAAGCGAGGGAGAGAGAGCCCGCCGCCGCTGTCCTTGCAGCCACCTGGCTTTGCCGGCAGCGGCGAGACGGGGGAGGGGAGGAGAGGGGTGGAGGTGGCGCGGCTTGTTTCGCCAGCCGCGCCACCCCCGGGGCACAGCGACCGGGCGTCTTGAACTACTGAAAAAAGATCATGATCATAGCCACCATGGTACTTTCCTCATAGTGAGCTAGTTGATCTAAGCATGGCTAAGCATCATATTAGATCCCAATTTATCAAAGGCATGTGGTAAACAACATATGGCTGAGTAATAGGAACCATCCACATGACAATGTAAAATAATGCAATTTAAATAGAAAGCAAGATGTTTGCAATATAGGTATAATATGTTCAATGAGGGATGCATGACTTGCCTTGCTCCTGTGCTGCTAGAACCTCTGCAACCACTTCATAATAGAAGAGAGCGTCGAAACTACCGGAATCTAAGCGACAAACAAAGCACATAAGCAAAACAGGCTATAAGACTACTGAAACAGGAAACAAACCACTTTTAATGGATTCTAGGCATTTTTATGAATTTACTGAGACTTGAATGGACTTAAACGGAGCTCGGATGAATTAGATATGAAATTTAGAAGATTCACTATGTTTTTACTATAAACAGAACAATCCTTAATCAATTACTGCGTATTAAAGCCGGATGTTGATGTCAGCAAGGGGAGAGGCGGCACCGACACGCGGGTCCCACCCATCAGTGACACAATGCCCGGTCCACTGTGGAACGGGACCACCGCGACAGTCCATTGCCGGTCCACGGGGATAGGGGCTCGGCTCGGGACGAGCCGGCTAGGTGATGGCGGCACGGGAGCGAGCGGCAAGTGGCGGCGGCGCCCACCGGAGAGCAGCGATGTGGCAAGGAGAGAGAGGAGGAAAAGAGGAGGGCCTCACCGACGATGACAGCGACCGACGCGGAGCGGACGACAACGAAGGCGGCAAGGGGTGAACGGGCTCCGGAGCAACCTTGGGAAGGAGATGAGAGGGGTTAGAGGGAGAGAAAGAGAGAGAGAGAGAGGCCACGGCGGCAAGCATTGCCAGCCGTAGACGGCAGGCATGCAGAGCTCACCGGCGAACCGAGGGAGGACGGTTCCGGCGGTGGAAGACGACAGGGGAACGACGGCTGAGGTAGCTCTCGACCTCGCGAACCCGATGGAGGCGACAGCGCGGCTTGGCGCAGTAGCTAGCGACGGCTGGAGACGACAGCGGCGGGAGTGATGGTGTGGGCGCGATTTAGGGCACGGGAGCAAGCGGCGAAAGAGGGAAACTGAGGAGGGGAGCACATGTATCATTTATATAGCGGTGGGGAGCTCGGATGTGGCAAGTAGGGGGCAGATTTTGTGACGGACGTGGGAGAGAGAGAGAGACGACGGCTGGATTCGAAAATCGAATCCCGCCGATTTTGAGGAGAACCACGTGCGGCGAGAGTGGTGGAGGTGGTTCCGGGTAGTGGGGTGCATCAGGTGCGCGGAGAGAGCGGAGTGGGGCGCCTCCCTGACTTGTTATTTTGAGATGTAAACCTTAGATATAAATTTTGTACGTTTCAACCCTTGGAAAGTGGGGTGTGTGATATAGAGGGGCACGGGGGCCTTCGGGACTCTAAGCAGAGTAGCTCCTGACCGCGAACCCCTGCCCTGCCACGCGGTTATTTTAAATAATAGCTAAACAATGTTTTCTTTATGTGACGAGAATATAACCTCGGGTCCCCAAGGAAATGGGTACCTAGTTCTCATTTCACCAACAGTGGTTAATGTGCAAAATGGGCCTAGCGTTAGCAGGAATCATATTGTATCTGATGGCTGATATTTGAGATGAGGAACGATCAAACGGCTATAGCATTTTTGAGTAAATTCCCTGTATATCATTGGAAACTCACTCAATCCTGCTCATATCCCTAATATTTATCTGATCCCTTCTATACCATTAAAATTTTAACTTGATCCTTCTATGATTATACTGTTATATTTTCTTTCATTTCACTGTTAAGTTTGTTTGCAAATATCATTTATCCCTTGACGATGTAGGTTTGAATATAAACTTAAAAAACGATTGAAAATTAAATTTAAAATTTTGTTTGAATGCTTAGTATGTGCATTTTATAAAACTAATGAGACTAAATAATTAGTGCAGGAAATGTTAACATAAAATTTGAAAATAAAAATGTAATAAATTGAAATTTTTATTTAATATTTTAATAGGATAATGACTTTTTATTGCGAACGTCATAAAAAATGAGGAGCATCCGTAAAAAAGAATTGTGAGCATTATTAGACCCATCTTGAATACTCCTCATTTGTAGAACTTTTTAATAAATAAAATAAATACATATTGTTTTTCTTTCATTAACTAAAAAAAATTGTGATAAATAATGTGTCGCATAATAAACTCATAACTATAATAAGTCTTATGTAATAAACTTTTACATTTCAATAATATAATTCATAAATTTTAATGTTTATTCATGTGTAATAATTATTTTTTTATAAAAATTAGACGGTCAACTAATAATAAACTGACGGGAGGGGCATGGAATAAATCAAAATCAAATTTTGGGACTTCAAAAGAAATTTTCTCTTTTTTTTTTATGATGGGACTATACGTAATTGCAGATACAAATTATAGGGTTCAGGTACAAATCCGATCCTATTATAGGGTTCAGGTACAAATCCGATCCTATCAAGTGCGTGCGTGCGAGGGATTGTGGCTTGATAGGATCGTCCGGACCTGACGGGAGAAGGCGTGGGTTCGTGCGACGGGACCTCGATTCGTCCATCCAGCTTCCACTACCCCTCCGCGCGCTGCCTAGATCTTTCCTCTCTCTCGCACCCTCTTATTGGCGGAGGAGGAGGAGGGATGGTGCGGGAGGTTGCGGAGAGCTGTGTCGACGGGGTGGTGATGGAGATGGTGGCGGCCTACTGCGGCCGCTTCTACGCCGCCAAGCCGGAGCTCGCCGCCCGCCGCATCGAGGCCATCGGCTTCCAGGTCGGCCACCAGCTCACGGAGAGGTAAACGAATCTCTCTCTCTCTCTTGCTGGATGGATCTGCTGCTGCGCCCCTCCCCCGATCTTTCCGGCGAGTCCGCCGACGAGGGCCTCAGATCTTCTCAGTCGGCAGTCGCTATCGGTTCTTGCTGACTCCGATAAATTTTGAAATGTTGCTTTTAGTCGCCCTAAATAAGGGCTTATTAATCAGATTTCGCAACAATATCGAGCCTTAGACTTGATCGCGAAGCACTTCTTGTCTTTGGGAGCAGGAGTGCAGGGCCTTGCCTACAATCAAAATTTGGGTTAATTGGATCCGCTATTATAAATTTCACGGTTTAGAAAAATACCATTACTATTTGGTACCATTGCCATTGCAATTTCATAAGTATTATCACTACAGACCTTTTCATAACATTTTTTGTTTTTTAAGACCAAATTACCCCCTCTTCTTCCTTCTTCCTTCCCCTCTCTCCTCTCTTCCAGCCGACGAACTCGTATGAGTTCAGCAGCTCATGCCGCAGGCTGCAGCGCTGGAAGAGCCGCCGCGCAGGACACTGCTGCCGATGGAGCTGAAGGAGAGTGGCATAGAGTTGTGAGAGCTTGCTTGCACTCATTTAAGCTAGGATTCAGTAATGTCGTGCGGAAACGTACAACATCCGTTGGCCTATGTAGTGTGTCATTGTGTATATGCAGAGACGTACGGGACATGCATTTGCTGCAAGTATTCAGTGACTGAACCATGCCAGGTAGGAGTGTATGTGTATACAGGCTTGTTCCTATATGCTGTGTCGTATGGTAGGGCACAGCACCTCAACTGGATCACGCCTCCAACAATGTGGCAAACGCTCTTGCCGTCTACAACAGCCTTTCTAGCACACCGTCGTCGACGTGAACGGACCAACTGCTGCCGGCAGCCTCTCTGAACTCTGCCGAGACTGCAGTCCTCGCCGTGCAGTCCAGCGCCGTGGCCGGCTACACAATTTCGTCGGAGTTTGTTAAGCTGGAGGACAGGAGATTGGGGGAAAATAAGTAGATGAGGGTAGAAGAAAGGGACAATTTTGTCCTAAAAACTCAGGGTTAATTGGATCCATGCCATTATAAATTTTTTAGTTTTGACGTATGCAATTACTATTCAACTATTCAGAGTCATACCAATACAATTTTTCAGGTGTGGAAATATATCACTACATACCCCTTTGATGTGTTTCACAAAATTTTTAGACCAAAATGCCCTCATCTTCTTCCTTTGTCTCATCCCATCTCCTGTAGTCCTGTTAATCTTCTTCCTCCTATTTTTCCCCTTCCGGATCTGAATCTGGCAACTTGTCTTCTTCCTTCTCATTTCCTCTGTCGGCCATGATGCCAGTGTTGTGCTGCGCCATCTAGTTCCTCTTATTCCCTTCGCCGGCCAACCAAGGAGCGGAGCTCGTCGTCGGCGCATCGTTGTGGAAGGTGCTGCTGGTGTTGTTCGCCTGCGGCGACTTCACCATGGCACGTGGTCGTCGATGGGCACATGCTGTCCATGATCTGACAGAGTGGCCTTTTTCATGTGTAATCTCAAACTGAACATCCTTTTTTATGTGCCTAATTGAGTTGGTCAAACATCCCAAAATCCATTCCACTAGCTTCTGCTGAGCAGCAAGCAACCAACTACCAGACTACCAGTACGTCCTTCAACAGCAGGAAACCAACCATGTGCAAGAAATGGGAAGAAGAAGAAGATGAACAGCAGACAGGTCGGGTAGCTCTGACCAGCTGCTGCAGTTTCGTGTATATGGGGCTGGTGGCCGGCGCCACCGGGACCAACACCATCGAGCAATGGCGGTTGGCTCGGACTAGGTGCTGCGGCATCCAGATCCGATGAGCCTGAACCCAACGCCATCTTTGGCACAGCCGACTCGAGCCAGCCTGTCCCAATCGGCAACCCCTTGCACTGAACTTGCAGCAAGAATTGAGAGAAAGAAGATGTACAGGAGAGATGGAAGGACACCAAGGAAGAAGAAGAGGGCATTTTGGTCTAAGAATTTTGTTAAACACATTGAAGGGGTATGTAGTGGTATATTTTCAATACCTGGAAAATTGTAATGGCATAGCTCTTAATAGTTGAATGGTAATGGCATATGTCAGAACTGAAAAAATGCTGTGAAAGGGTATATAGCGGCATATCTCTAACACTTGTAAAATTGTAATGGCATGATTTCAAATAGATGAATAATAATGGTATATTTCCAAACTGCGAAATTTACAGTGGCATAGATCCAATTAACCCACCATATATATTCCACAATTCCAAATGTTCATTCCATAAGTTTTAACTTCAGTACATGTCTAGTATTTCGAACAGGTCACTTGTTTAACCGTTTACTGATGTGTATACAAATTTGTAATTCTAGACAGTTTATCTATTCTCTTGACTGGTACTGTTGTATCAGCCTTTATTAATAGATCGCATAACTGGATGCCGCCAGCACCAATGTTCTGTCAGACAGGGTAAAAAATATATCACATGATTACAGCCATACGGAGTATATATTTTTATTTAAACAAGTACAACTCTTTTTTACTGCATACCTGGCTTTCAGTGTAGGGATCCGAAAATGTTATCACTTTGAACTGCAGTATATCCTCAAATATGGTGGGTACTGGATAGGTTCATCTCATATAGCCTTGGAGATCTAGATAACATAGATCATTCTGGAGTTAATTACTCCCCGGCATTCTTCTTGAAATTGATGATATATTTCCTAAACTTTTGTGTGTGTGTGTGCGGGAACTTCAAAGGACTCAACGAGCTGAAACAGTTGATTGAAGAACCTTTGTACCGATACTTTGATTCATATGCGACAGAGTTTAATAATGCTTACATTTTATCGTATGGACATTTTCTCGTGCAATATGTATGCTCATTATTACGAAAATCCTATATTCCTTCAGTAACCATTGACATCCTTAGTTAAAAGGATAGGGTATGTTTGATCGATGATTGGGTGCTTGTTTATGACTATTTTCTTGAGCAAAGAATTTTGAAGCTAACTATAAAAAAGGTTCAACCCGTATTAATCATTTACAAATGTTTATGATGTTTGTAATTATTTACAAAACAAAAATGCTACTTAGCAATTTTAGTTATAGTTTATTCTCTTTTTATTTTACTTTTTTCAGAAATGTGTTTGCAATTGTTTATATAATGGAAGTTTCATTTTAATTGCTAATTAAATTTTGTATGTTTTTATTGCCCTTGGTCATTTATTGATTGTTTCCTGAAGTATCATATTCTTGAGCACAAATGTAACTGCTGTCTGAATTGCATATGTGTATTGGGTTCTTACCTCCACTCCTTGTAGTGCTGCGATTAACCATAATTTCTGTTCAAAATCAGATATACCATGGAGCGCCCTCGATTTAGTGATCATCTTGAAGCAATCAAATTTATCTGCAAAGACTTTTGGTCAGAGCTATTCAAGAAGCAGATTGACAATCTTAAAACTAATCATAGGGTAATGAATTTAAAATTCGTACCTTATTTTGCGCTTGTGACAGAACTGATGTTACTTGACTTCCCTATATGCAGGGAACATTTGTTCTTCAAGATAACCGTTTCCGGTGGCTTACTCGTGTTTCTATAGATCCATCTGTAGAGAGCATGGATGCAACTGACAATGACTCTGCAACACTAGGGGATAGCGCAGCCCAAACAACAAGCATGCTTCTGTACTTTCCATGCGGGATAATAAGAGGTGCCTTGACCAATTTGGGTATTTCGTGTTCTGTCACTGCAGACATGTCCAACCTTCCAGCATGTGAGTTGCACTACTCCTTTTCATGACCTTTACTTTGCATGCAACTCCATGAGGTTGCAAAATGCACTGGATGGTACTCCTTCTGTTTTCATATAATTATTGCCATTAGCTTTATTTTTCAAACTCATTAAACATGGAATACCTCAAGGGAAAAATATTAAAGTATTTTGAATGATAAATGTTATAGTATTATTCTTTCCTACTAACTAAAAAAATTAAAATACTACTTGTCAAATGTTGAATAGTATAGTCATGCTCATTGCTGTTAAAAAAGGCTGGGCCAGTACTTGAATTAAGAAAATCAGATCAGATAATGCTCAACATGAGTGTCTCCATATGAGAAATTATTTGGTGAAAAATCTTTTGGTGAATATGATGGATAAGATTTTCATTGTGGATATTTAGTATCTCAGATTGAATAACCTTATCACTTGATCACACAAGCATATTCAAAAGCACTCTCATGTGGCCATCATTGATGCCCCAATCATCAAAACCAAGCAGAGAATTTTGAGACCACCTGATCAGGTAGCAAGTTCCAGCTTAGCTGCTTAGGATAGATATGTCAGGAAGAAGCAGCCAGTATCTTTCTAGATGATTTTGATTTCATCCAGATCCAGTTCACGCAGCAAACAAAGTCTTCCATATGCACCGTATGTGGCATCGACAAAAAATAAGTATCCCACCTGCCATTCTTATGGACCACTGGACATGCCTCCCTTCTTTAGCGTTATTTGGCTGCTTGGAGCCTGCTTACTTAGTGAACTGTTTGGGGAGCTCCTTGCTAAGGGTGCAAGGGGATTCTCTTCCTATTCCTCGACTAAATCCTTTCTGCTGATCTGTTAAAAAAAAATAGTATCTATTTCCGTTTGCCTTTCCTAGAAGGTTGTTCAAATGTTTGTAGAGATATTCTTCTTGTCATGGTCTTTTTGTTTCTGTACTCTTTTTAATGGGATTTTTTTTTTCAGTCCACAGCTTATATGTATTGAGCTGAAAGAGAAATTCATTTTGTTCATTGAAATGTGGAAGTAATATTCGTACAATGAATATTTGAAATCCCCTAGGGGGAAAGGGCCGTAATAAATATAACTCCTCCATTCCAAATTTAAGGCATTTTAGTTTTGTCCTAGGTGAACATCTCTAACTCTGACCAAGTTATAGAAAAATGCACTAACATCTAAAACATCAATTTAATTTCATTGAAATCCACCATGAAATATGTATTGATAGTGCATTAATTGGGTACTCCATCCCATTAAACAAGGCGCAACTGCTTTGTACGCAAAGACCAAGGAAGCTCATGTAACTTGTGAGATGGATGCTGCAGAACTAGAGGCTTTAAACAACCAAAGGAAACCAAAGAATAGCTAGTGCATGCATGCGCATGAACAGAAATTACAGGAGTCAAGAAGGTGCAGCTGCCGTTGCTGCCCTATATTCTGGGACTTTTGAAAAAAGCAGTTGCGTCTGGTATAATGGGATGGAGAGAGTAGTGTAGATGTTAATATAGGGCCAATTTGGATTGCTACCTACCAAAATTTTGGTAGGGTAGCAAACCAAACACCTCTATTAAAACACTACCTTTGTCATAAATTTGGCTTTGCCCATGAACTTGTGTCTTATGGGTATATTTTAGCTTCAATCCTAATCAACATTTTCAACTCTTTACCCTACAACATTTTGGTAGGGTATTAATACAAACACAGGCCCATATTTTTCTATAAACTTGGTCAAGGTTTGAGAAGTTTGACTTATAACAAAACTAAAATGTCTTATAGTAGTATGGAATGGAGGGAGTACATGACTCTAGGTTAAACTATTCGTTGATGATTGCAGTTTTGAGAATTATAACACATTTCTCCATTTGTAGTTTTGTACCATAAATTCCCTCTGCCTTTTGCAGCTATGACTATTATGTGAAATATTGCAGGTTCTTTTGTTGTGCGCATAAAAACATGAGCTGCAGATTTTATGCCTGCTTGTTCGATCAAGCGGTTTGAACATTAAAGAGTGCAAGCACGCAATAGCCTGGGAAATACGCCTTGTAGCTGCTCCTTTTTCTTTCTCTTTGTTCTTAGAGGCACCTCTTTACTTACTGACTTCATCATACCTTCCTTTGTGCACATCTTAAGATTGGGTGTAATTTTGTGATTCGTGTGAACAAGAGAAGACAAAATGTAATATTTCTCCTGAGATACTGGCTAGAGCCATGTAATTTTGTTGTCTAGCAGTGGAGAATGTTTTATCTTGTATGTGATGCCCGCGCACAGTCACGATTTACCTGTTTTTATGGTTTCATTTTTATGGTTTCATCGATTTACCCTGTTTAGGGGTGTTTGGTTTGTAACTTGGACGTTGTGGAAACAATAGATCATAGCTGATAGTTTTGTTGTTTGTAGAGCTATCCGTTTCGTAAAGATAATGTACCGCATGGGCTTACCAATCCTGCGAGCCAATTTTTTTTTTAAGTGTAACCATTAGCTAGTACACAAGCTCCTTTTAACGGGGCTTTTAACTATTTGCCACTCTTACGAATGGTGCTTAATGATTTTCCACTAGACCCATATGTCATAGACACATGAGGACCTACGTGTCATTGATAGGGTGTGGCAAATCGTTAATTGCCATGTCATAAGAGTGGCAAATAGTTAAATTTCCTCCTTTGAACATGAGTACAATGGCCAGACCACGTTGACGAGGGTATCTTTAGTTTATGCCTCCTTGAACGCATGAATTTTATAGCAAGGATTTTCATTTGAATTAGTTCAATTTTCTTAAAATTCCTCTAATCCCACTGTAGAATCAAGATGTTGATTTAATATACAATTGTTAAAGGTGGGTGTTTATTTGAAAATACGATGAGTAGTGATTTCAGACTACGATGCGTGATCGGACTGGGAGGCCAGTCAGACTGTAGGGGTGTGATCGGTCTGACCTAGCAAACTCCGGAAGAGAGTTGGTTTTACCGGAGTTTTTATGCGGTCTAACTGGTGACATGGAGGTGGTCCAATTGGCGGTCAGATCGGCGATGTGCAGGGAGTCAGACCGGCGAGAGTACTGCGGTCAAACCAACAGCGATCTAATAGTGTGATCGGCGCAACTTCGTCAAGTTTAGGGTAATATTTTAATTCCAAAAAAGATTGGAATTATTTCTCCATAAAAAGATCTAATACTGTGCTTTGGTGTTCCTACCATTCATCTCTCTGGTAGGGTTGGTTCTTATATTCGATCCTACACTCACATCCTGAAGGAGGCCTTGGTAAGTATCTTAATGATCCTTATAATGAATTACTAATTCTATAGTTTAAATATACGGAATTATTTAAATTAGTATAAATTAGGTTTAAAGAATATCATAATTCTTAACGATTTGTCTTAATCTGAAAAATTATGTACGTACCATTTATTATAACTTGTTTCGTTATTAAATGTAATTTAAATATCCTAATCTTAACTAATTAAAAGATTCGTAATTTTCCAACCGTCACCGTCCATTTTTTGTTTGTCACTTTCGCGTTCACCCGTTAGGGGTTGCACCAGTCGCTCCACCTAATCGTTACTTTGCATCCTCAGAATCGGACAATGGAAACCAAGTCATAACAAAAGAATCAGCATAAGAATCCAACCTTACACAAGCACCTTTTAAAATCAGTGTTTCACAGCTTCAATACAATCAAATCGGATGCATAACAAAACAAGGGAAAAACAAGAACTCAAGATAAAAAGCAAATCCAAAAATTCCCTAAAAATAGCCTAATCTTTGAACCTGTGGAGGCAGTGACAAGAGACAGGTGGAGAGGAGGGGGGAGGTGACCCCTGGCCGCCGCACGACCGAGCCCCGCGCTGCCGCATAGCCCCACCATGCCATGCCAACCTCCGCATCGCACCGAGCCGCCGCACGACCTTGTCCTCGCCGTCGCCCGGCCGCGACGCCCACGGCTGGCCGCAGTGCCTCACTAGTCTCTGCACCCGCCGCGCCGCCACCGGCCGCCTGATCGGCCAGTACACCCGCCGGCGCCATCAGGGGAGGAAGGGGAAAGAAAAGGAAAGACAAGCGAGAAGGAAAGAAAAGAAGGTAAAGAAAGAATCTCTAGAGGATTTGCAAAAAGGCCCCTGTGGTTTCCGAAAATTAATCGCATATTCCTCTGCATTGGAAACTTTGCATTTTAAACCCTGAAATTTCTAGAAAATACACAAATCACCCTATGTATTTGGAATATTTGTTTGAATGGCATTGTAAATTTGCAAAATCCACTGAAATTATATTTCTGTTATTTATGATTATGAAATTTATTTATCACATTTATGATTATTTATTATTTGTAATGCTTTTATTATTTTTAATTAATATCTTTGCGGTAAAATATATAGAATTGCATAAAATATATTGGAATTATTTGCGGGAATTTTAATTAAAGATGACTGACATCGTGAACTAGAAGTTTGCTAAATCTAGAGTATATCTGACATATACATTCAATGTAGAAATTATAATGGACCTAGAAGCTCCATGACACCGTCAAATCAGTGTTCTAATCACTAACTCGATGTGATTGAGCAAGCATTTCTATCTCTCGTTGGTACCTCCAAGCTACTCTAATGAAAGAGTATGCTAAGTGGATGCACGAATTAACACTCTTTTGGTGGCACAAGGAAGCAGTTTTTGATTATTATGGTGCACGCTATCACTCATAGAACAAGAACTATGAGCAACAATGGGTATTTTCGACTATAATTCACTGAGCAAATAACCCTGAGAGTACGGTAGTACGATGCACCGAATACTGTGGAAACTCTCGATGATTCTACCCGAACTCAATGAAAGTCACGAGCATCACAAGAATTACATGTACTTCTTTTTTGCAATTATTGTTTTATGAAACATATTTGAATTATACAATTAGATTAGCAATTCTTAGTTTTTATAAAATATATATGTAACTGAAAGAGCATCTATGCTCCTAGTGGGTTTTTGTTTATTGATGACAAACGATTAAGGGACTAATGCACTTATTAAGTGTATAAGCAAGTGATTAGTCCGATGAAGAAGCTAGGAAATGGACTTATCGATGGATGAGAATTAAAGAGAAGATATTGAAGATGTGGGTATGAAGTGACTACCTATGGCAACACGGTGAAGCGCAAGCGCTGCTCAGCTGCGATGGACCATGCGGTGGTGAAGGGCAAGCAAGGGGCTTGGCGCCGACGAACCGAAACCGGTGGTGAAGGGCGAGTGAAGACTGTGTCGTGATGAACCGTGCGAGGCCATTTGAAGATATGAATTATCTGCATCAATCATTTGAGAAATGAAAGATGAAATGCCAAAGATCAAGAAGATGAGATCTTCCCGATGATCAAATGACCTTGACATTGGTAATCCTCCAAGTGAAGAAATAAATTGGTGTGAAGGTATTCCTATTGGTATAACTTTCCTTTTACATTTGAGTTTAGGATGCCGTACTATTAAGGGGATACCACATGCATATAATTGGTTGAATACTAGTGCTCAAAATGCTTCATCTTTGTGTGAGTTGAAAAACCTAAGCCAAAATTTAAATCCTGAGTTGTTTCACTTGTCACAACACTTACACCGGGTTTCTTTGCAATTTTTTTAAAATCTCTTGAAGATTTTGGACCATGTTTTATGTTGGGTTTGATAGCCCACAAAACTAGCTTTCTATAGAGTCCAAGATCTTTGAAATCGGAGTTTGGAGTAAAAAGTTATAGCATTTTTACTTGAGCAACATCAGACTATCCGATTTGAAATCAGGCTATCCGATGTATCGGACTATCTGATTTTTCACAGAACTTCACTCTCTATCTTGATTTGAAAAAATCCTATCGAGTGAGTTTTTCTAAGTATCGGAGTATGAGATGCCGGATTAGATAGTCCGATGACACAGAGACTCCGAAATTTCATGGAACTTGAGTCTCTGTTTGAGGACGAAGTTTTTCTTCTAAAATATTGGATACTCCGATTTAACATCAGATAGTCTGATGTCTCGGAAAGTGTAACGGACTCAAAATTTCAGGAAAAATTTTTGCGAATTATTTTAAGTCATGCTCTTCTCGATTCTTGCATTAGAGTGATCTTGCTTTTAATATTTTCTTTTATTCTGGACTTAAACTTTAATTGCAAAGTTAATCGCTCTTTTTAAATTTTACAAAACCTCTCTGTTTATTTTCTTTAATCTCTAACTTTGGCTCTAAATTATCCTTTGAATCTATTCCCGAACATCTCCAACAAATACCCTTTCAATTCCCGTTCAACCATCTCTAGAGCACATGAAATATCAATCTCTCTAGAGTTAATACCTTTTCATCTAGAGCTTACAACACTACCTCCAAATCCAGTTTTATCTTGCATCAAATACTTCCCCTTTGATCTCTACCCAAACACATGAAATACCAATTCTTATTTTTCCCCAAAACCAATACTTTCCTTTTGATCTCCACTCAACTACCTCCAGAATACATGAAATGTCATCCTCTAACCTCCCTAGAGTACAATTTCCATTTTCCTCAAAGTTAATACTCTCTCTTTGAACTCTACCCAAATATCTCTAGAGTACATGAAATGTCGATACCTTTCCTTTGGATCCCCACCTAAATATTCCCAGAGTCCATAAAATATCCTTTTCAATCCCCCTTTGAGTCAACATACCCAACCTTTAGAATTTATCAATCTACCACCAATCCTATTCCTGTAGAAATTCCCATCCACATATACTTCCGAGTCCAAATCTATACTCCCACAAATATATTCCCTTGAAATCTCGTTCCTCCAAATTATCCATTCAAGATTCCACAGTCTACTTGGGCCAATATTTTCCCGATTGACCCGACTCTTTGTTATATCCCATTAACCATTTTTATCCTTGGGGTTAAACCAATATAACTCTCCTTTTGTTGTAATTTATTTTGGATCAGACCTCTATCTAAACCTATCCCCAAAAAACTTTATTTCCTTTTAATCGATCCAAATTATCCTGTGATCAAGTTCCTATTTTGATCCATCCACCAATTTGATTCTTATGACTTGATCATATCCTTGGCACAAAGAATAATATATTCCTAGAATGATTGCTCTTGTGCTAAGAAACCTATTTACAATCCCTTCCATTTAAAAATTCCGAATTTCCTTTAGCACACCAATAAATCACCAGAAACCCGTACCACATATATTGGGGGCTAAAGTCCTATTTATCCCTTTCATCTATATTGCCACTATCCCAAAAATTTATCCAAAGTTAGAAATTAAATTATTTGTATTTCCTTTCCTTCTCATTTTACTAT